GGTCAGTGGAAGCGAGTGGTGCACGCCATCCAAAGGTGTCATCGGACACGATCCGCCATCGCTAATGCTTGCCAGTGATCTCCTGGATCTCTTCAGAGCCCACCCAGCCAAGGTGGACTGCACTGAGGGCAGATCGAAACGGCGCAAAGGCTCCTTGAGTGCGAGGTGAAGAAGCGAGACGGTCCAGTGTCTATCAGGTAAGCAATATCGTTGGATACAATGTAGAATGTACGGCACGAACTGTAGGCGCGGTTCCTGTTCTCTCCAGCTCCGCATCGTGTGTCCCGTAGCGAGGCACAGCTGGGGAGAATGAAGGCATGGAGTTTCCCATTCGAGGTCCAAACATCCATAAATGGGCCCGGGCAAGGTCAAGGCGGAGCCAAGTGCAGACAAGCAAGTGGAGCCGACGCGGTTTTCCTTGGCTTCTGAGACGGCTGTGGGCCCCCCTTACCTATCGCCCCTGGCGCTAAGAAATCCAAGAGCCGGTTGCGCTTTCCGTTTTCTTCAACCTGGGGAATCCAGGATTGGGAGAACGGCCTTGGCGGTGTCGTCGTTGTGACAAGTTACCGAGATCCCAGCAACACCGTACGATTTCCTGCCCAAGGGTCAACTTGCAACGTAGCCCATGTTTAGACCGATGGTTGAGCAGAGTTCGTTTTTTCCCTTCTATTTTTGCAGGGAGAGTATCTGGAGGGGCTGGCAATTACTTCGGTTCCAGGTCAAGGGGTTCCAATATCCATATCTTCGTCAAGGGACGCCAGAGCACATGACAGTTTCCAAGGTGAAGCCGCGCTCGGTGAGCACATGCATGTACTAGTCGTTCATTTCTCGGGATTTGAACGATTGCTTGCCTTATTGACACCGGTTGGCTTGATTCTGCGGTCAACAGGGAGAGGAGTTGCGGGAATTCTAGCTCGTAAGGACTGATCTCACCATTGACGTTAACAGCGTACCTGTTTTAGTTTGATTGCTTCGTAGCAGTGTGGACAAAATCAATTCCAAGCTATCTATCTTCCATCAGAAGCTTTCCTTTGGGTTCTTGCCTAAAATCGCACATCAAACCATGCAACGGTTGATGCGCCAACTGGCAATGGTTGTCCACGCCACCAGAACACTAGAGACGGCATGCAGTGAAGGGAAAATAGATCTGATAAGTGCTGTGCTAGCTCAACTGCATGATCCATTCTCTGGTAAACGGTTGAACGCCCGGGCCCAGTACCCGTACTGTCGGTCTCAGTGGCAGTTGCAAGCCCACATTTAACCTCCAAACCCGTCCCCCATGCTTGGCAGGAGGGCGTGATGGCTGATCGATCCGCCAAGCGAAAGCAGAGTAGGTAATTCCAGGGCATGTCAGTAGCCTAAAGGTGAATTGGGATTCCGGAGTACATCATCGTGTCACCAACACCGCGGTTGCACAGGAAACTTGAAGGCTGCAGGGTTGGGTTTCCCGTCACTCCCGCTCCAAGTCCGCTGGTGCCGCGCTCCCCCACTTTGCCCCGCCATGCAGTTGGAGCACACGGAACAATCTCTTCGTCGATAAGCGGCCGTCACACCGAGAATGCCCTGCCTGGTGCCTGGGATGATGTAACTTGACGGCAGCTCGAGGTTCTCCATATTCTCCATCTGCAACTTTCCACTCTTTCCTCCATCTTCAACACGCCGTTCGGCAGCGACACGATTGGACTGCCTTCTCACTCTCTCTCACTGTGAAACCCCCACCAATTTGTACCCCTCGTTGCCGCGAAGACCGCCCAAAATAGGGAAAGGGCGCCATCACACCCAGCGCTCTCGCGCCGGTGACAGCAAGTTTGACGATTTCGGTGGATTCGGCGATTTCAACGACTTTGGCCGCGACTTCCGCGTTCAGGCCAAGGGCGCGAGACACTCCAAATCGAAGAAAGCAAAAAAAACCAAGAAACCCAACCGCAAAATGGGTCAAGAGCACTCAGCCATCGTCAGCGATGACACCCCGCCAGAGACCCTTCATGAGCGCAGCCTTGCCGCTGTCGCCGAGCACATCAAGTCTGGCAAGGCTCGCCGCATCGTTGTCATGACCGGCGCCGGCATCTCCACGGCCGCTGGCAGTATGTCTGCGTCCCAATCTGAACTCTGAGAAGCTACTGACCTGCGCGCGCAGTTCCCGATTTCCGGTCGCCAGAGACGGGTCTCTATGCTAACCTAGCAAAGCTCAACCTGCCCCGGCCCGAGGCAGTGTTTGACCTACCATTCTTCAGAACCAACCCTAAACCCTTCTATGTTCTGGCCAAGGATCTCTACCCAGGCAATTTCCATCCTACCGTCTCTCACGTTTTCATCAGCCTACTGGCCAAGAAGGGCCTGTTGCACCAGCTTTTTACGCAGAATATCGACTGTTTAGAACGTGCCGCCGGCATTCCGAGTGAACTGATCGTCGAAGCCCACGGCAGTTTTGCCTCGCAACGCTGCATTGAGTGCCGGACGCCTTATCCCGACGACTTGATGCGCGAGCATGTTTCCCGCGCTGAAGTACCGCGATGCGTCCGCGGCCCAACCGAGTGCGACGGCTTTGTGAAGCCCGACATTGTCTTCTTCCACGAGGCGCTCCCGACATTGTTCTACGACCGCAAGGACCTCGTGGACCATGCCGACTTGGCTCTCGTTATGGGCACCTCCCTTCAGGTTCACCCCTTTGCGGGGCTGCCTGAATATGTACGAGAAGGTGTGCCTCGCGTGCTGTTCAACATGGAGCGGGTCGGCTCCCTGGGCAGTTTGGCAGACGATGTGCTGGAGCTAGGCGACTGCGACGCGGGGGTTCGAAAGCTGGCGGACGAGCTAGGCTGGCGGGACGAGTTAGAGGCCGAGTGGCGAGAGCTGGTTGGCGAAGAGGAGGCCCAGAAGCAATTGAGTGGTATGCGGAAACGTGCAGAGGTGCTGCAGGATGAAGTCTCGCGTCTGGCGGACGAAGTCGATGAGGTGTTGCACCTGACAGAACGAGAGGCGGCTAACGAGGTGGGCAGTGCTACTGAAACTACGAGAGATGCGCGCCGCTCAAGTGATGCTGAGGCTGGCGGCGGGCTACGACCCAACAATCCCGTTGCCACAGCCGAAACCTCCCAAGAAAAGGCCCAGGAAGAGGATCGGAAAGAGGCGAAAGAGACGCGTCAAGCCACTGCCGATATTGATACCGCAGAGGTTGCTCGAGCCCCTATTGGAGCTGTCTCCGACCCCGACCAGCAAGACAATACTGCAGCCGACATTCTCAGTGGAAAACAGGATAGCGCAGGCATCACAGCCGAAGCAAAGCATGGGGAAGGGACCGCTGGGATTTGACCAAATGGATCAGGAGCAATTGGATCCGGCACTATTTGTGGTCTAGGTTCGACGGAGGAAAGGCCTCTTGGAAACAGCTGCTAGGGGGTCAGGTTGCTGGGGTTGGATGAATGCATTAGCGGCGGATGGGTTTTGCGGCGACGATCCAACTCAGTACAAGTGGCATATTGTAAGGGTTGGCATGTATCTATCTCTCTGGGAGGGTTTTCTTTGAAGTTTTGGTTCGAGAGGGAGCGATAGGCAAGCGAGTAGCATTTGCGTTCCCTTCAGAATCGGATCCTGAAGAGCTCCGAGGTGATTCCGCAGGTGCCCCTTTTTCTTTGTTTTCGTCTTGTTATAGTGTCCCATGGTGGACAAAGATATTGGGCGACGGAAGTCGTGATTTTGAACAATAACATTGTTTCCTCCCCACCTTTGTCCGGTCGCCTTGCATCGGTCTGTTCGGATTGTTTGTTGAAGTCGTATAAGTGTTGAAGAGGTCAAAACAATGGGGCGCGCTCTACGTTTTTCTCGTCAACTCTCCAGTCCTTGCGATTCGCGGCTCACCATCGGTCAGCCGTGGTCACACTTGAGGACAGGGCCATCTCAGGGAGATAGCCCAACTAACAGCATAGACCACAAGAAGTAGGTAAGTAGGTAGATAGCTCAAGGCAAGATGTCTTCCCAACCCCACCAAAGCTCATCCCCCGACGGGAGTCTGATATCTCACGGATCGGGTACCCGCTTCCTCCAGACTATCATTGGACACCTACCCCAAGTCGACTCCTACCCCCTCGAATCCTGCCCTTTCGGCTCTGACTCGGACGAAGACTACGACACCCCCATCCTCCCTCAGAATAACCTCATCCCCACTATCACCTTCGCCCGCTGCCCTATCGTCAAACCGCCAACTGGTAAAGCCGCATCCGCTCTAAGCACTGGACTTAACCCCGATCCCACAGATCCTACCACTTCCTCCCGGCCTTCTGACATACATAGACAAATCTCCTCCATGGCGGACCCTACACCGCGGGAGACAGAAAACCATGCACCCTCGTTGGCGTTACCATACCCGGTAAGTGAAGACGGCAGTGAGAACATCCTAGACCAGCTGGTTCCTCCCTCGAGGCTCAACACGAGGTGGGAGTTTCTCTGCAGCGGGTGTAAGGAGCATGTAAAGGCAAAGTGTTGTGGGAAGTTGCGGGAGGGGGAGGTCGCGGACTTGGAGGGGGATCATACAGAGGAGCGGGTGACCATGTTTACGAGGATGACTGGGGGGGTGGCACTTGGGTTTTCCGGATTGGGTTCTGGAGTGAGGCGAGTTTTGATCCCATTTCTTTTCTTTGAGTGTCTTGATACCGGATTTTCCGTTCGACCACTAGGTATGTATGGATGGAGTTGGGTGGGCGGTGATCTGCTTGTGGGGACGGCAAAGGCACCTAAGATTCCTAAGAGGCGCATTCTGGGAAGTTCCAACACTGTAGAAGTTCTTGTAAAAACAAATGTAACGTATGTTCTCGATTAGTTTCTCCTTTATTACATTTCCATCGTGATTTCAAATGCCCATCTGCAACGACATGGGTGCTGCTGCAAACAAATGGCAACCACGTCTGGCGATGCCGCCACCCGCACCTGCCGAAACGCCTTCTGGAGCAAAAAGCAAACTTTCCCAACCAAGGAGCTGCCCAAACGATGCTAAAAATGATGGTCTGTTCCCCCACCGGGGTTTGAACCCGGGTCTCTAGAGATAGTATTCATTGATACTGAAAATCTGATATGCTAAACCCCTACACTCTAGGGGAGGAATCTGGTTGTTGGAGAAGTTTGTGTCTACTTGTTCGCCCTGTCTACCCTGCCTCTTCCTTGAGCTTCCCATGGGAAGATTTCGTCAAAAAGGAATATGGCTGACCTCAGAGCGTCAAGAAACCTTGGTAGAGTAACATCTCCTTCTTGATGCTAATTGCTGTGTGCTCTCCGCGGTGTTTACATCAGGGGTTAGGCTTCACACCTGCCCGATAACTCTAGTACCAAGTACAGTCTCAACGCCGGTTGATTGACCCCCGTGTGCACTCACTAGACATGCATCACAAGTGTACCCAAGTGGTGATCCATAAGAAATAGCCGTCAGGCTACTGGTATGTATGCTAGAAACCTTCACATAACCCGTCATTGTGTCATTCCGTCTCGTTCCGTGCCTCTGACGAGTCGCAACCTTCGCTATCGCCATGCAAAAAGCAGAACAACGCTAGCCTACAATCTTAACCCGCAGTTTGTCTCCCATCATGGCAATGCTGTCCCATCGGCAAATCATTGCTCTCGCCATCCTGTCCAGACCATCTGCGTAACCTTGTTATGTAGTGTCTTCCAAGGCGGTCTCTCGAGGCCAACGACTTTCCTGGAGGTCGGGGTGTCGGCCTCCCGCTCTTCGCTCTTCTCCAAGGACAATAACAATCAACTGTAAGTCCGCTTAGCGCCCCCACCAGTCTCAGCGTCCAAACGCCGACTCCAACTCCAACTCCGGGAAGATATACTTAAAGGAAAACGAGGAACCCCATAACCTGCGAGGCCCAATGATACATGTGGTGTGAGTGACAGAGCAAGGCAGCAAAAAAGAAAAAAAGACCAGCTCTCGCTCGAAGAATGCGAGGTAGTCAATTACAAAGAAAACATAGTCGTTGCCAGGTGATAGTTGCTGGCAAGGTTTGTTCTTACGGTAGAACTGCCCAGGTCGCCTGGTTTAACGATCCAGCTTTTGCACCTGCCACCCGTTGAGGTACGCCATCAAGCCCATCCCAATAAGAACCACCCCAATCATGGACGCATAGGGTAACGTCTGTATTATGGCCGGATCTTGAGGCGGTGATGCCAACGCTCTTGAAGCTGGTGTGATGGTGTTTGCTCGGGAAAGCGTGGGCACCCCTGCGGGCTCGTCTGCGGGCCCATCGTGCTGATCCGCCGGTATGGTTGGCGTGCCATTGACCACGACAGTGTATTCTTCCGCAATCTTGCCACGGCTGACGGGCCGTGTTCTTCCTTTGGATGGGGACCGCGACTTCCGCTCGGCCGCTGCTCTCTTCGCTTCCTCGTCGCGCTGTCGAATTTCCTGGACCATTTCCGCAAGTGTCTTCCGGTCAGCATCCCGCTCAGCTTCCGCTTTCTCCGCTCGCAGCCTAAATGCCTCCAGCTGTTCCCTCAGCCCCATCATTTCAGACGTCATAGAGTCGATGCGAGCCTGAAAGACTGCTGCCAGAGCCTCAACCTTATCTGGCTGGGATACCGGACTTGTTTCCGTGACCTCGGCGGGCATCTCGGGCGAAACCGGTCGGTCCGCCGGAGGATCGAATGCCTTGTTCAGCTCCGAATGGCCATTGACCGAAGGAGCCACCGCGGAGCCATTAATGCCGGAATGGCTGCTCTCTTCCATCTTCTGCATCAAGCCTTCCGCGAGGAGACGGGCCTCGCGCTCTTTGGTCAGCATCTCCTCCAGATCCCGCACTCGTGCAGTGTGCGTGTCCAACTCCTTTTTGGCATTGTTAAGCGCCTCAGTTAACTGCATGATTTGGTTCAAGCTAGTATTGTTTGGGTGGATGGGTGAAGTGTTCGTAGGGTGTGATTTTGGCCTCTCAGTGGTGCCTCGTTTCAATGCCGGAATCTCTGACGACACTGGCCGCGAAATATCAGGCTTCTCTGGAAGAGGCTGTGAAGGTGGAGGAGCTGGCGGCTCGGAGAACCTGGTCTTGCCACCATCAGAGCGGAAAGACACGTTGCCGTTTACGACCTGGGGGAGTTTGGGCGGCTCGGGAGCTTCGGGCTTGTCCAGGTTCTTGACATCGTCCTTGGAGAGCAGGGCATTGATGAACTGGCTCGTCCTGGCAAGATCCTGGTTTTGGAGGCGGGCATTTCGCATCTCGGCCTTTGAGTATCGTTAGCCTGATATATGCACATCGGCTGAATCAGAGGTCTTACATGAAGCTTCTTCACAATGTGCTCCGTGGTGATGGGGTTCAACCAAAACTGTCGTTGTTGTGGCACCCCGTTTGCTGGCCCTCCCATATTAGCAGGGGCCATGCGGGCACCAGCCGCCATAGAAACTTGGCTTGCAGTTCGTCCTCTAGGAGGTGCCCCAGCCACTGGCATCATCAAGGTGCCGTTAGACGGATCAAGATCGCCAAAGTTCATCTCCATCAAGTTGTTTGACGGGCTGACGAAACCAGCATGCTCGACCTTAGCGGCAACCTTGTGGTGTACGACTGTCTTTTGGTCTTCACTCACTATGTCGATACCAAGCTCGAGGTGGTCTTGTGGTTGCAGCTCGTGTGGCTCCGACTCCCTGTTTTCCGGAGACAGCCGGGTTCCGTTGACAAAAGTGCCGTTGGAAGATTTCACGTCCCGGATCCAAATTTTGCCGCTCGGGTCCGCCCAAACTTCGGCATGCTGCCTCGACAACACCTTGCTGTCGAAGAATCCATTGACCGGAGTCGGCACAGTCTTGGCATTGGTTTGGCGACCAATGCGGAGGGTGTCTGGGTAGAATGGCACGGATATCGTCTTGCGATCAAAACTGCCGTTTAGAGAGAGCAAAGAGAGGACAGGCTGTCGCCCAGGCAGGACGCCTTCTGTGCCTGGCCGGGACATCCCATTTTGGGATATCATATGGCCTTGCTGGGCCAACGCTGATTGGTTTTGCTGCATCAGGAACGTGCCGTTAACACCGTTGGCCGCGGAGGATTTGGCGCCTCGTGGCGGGAAGTCTTGTGCATGTGTAGTCTTTGCTGGAAGCAGCTTCTTTCGGGGGGCGGTGTTCGGCCAGCCGCTCAGATCACCACCGGCGGGCGTGGAGTTGCCGTTAGTCGGAGCATTCGAGGTGATAGTCCCTGTCGAGGAGTTTGACGACGTCGATGACACCGACGACGAAGAGTTGGTCCGATGGATTGTCTTGCCCCTGGTAAACATGTTGATGCCCCGGAGGTCGTCCGCATTCATCGAATTCGGTGTCTGGCCGCCGTTAATCCATCCCGGGCGATTGAGATTGGCAAAGCTAGGAGGACTCGCGACAGCCGTCATGAGGAAAACGTCGCGTACAGGGGCCGGGGCGGAGGCCGGCCACACGGACTAAGAATGCAAGAGGGGATGGTAGGCGCTGGCGTAATTGCTGCCGTCCTCTCATGCGTTTCCCGACCGTGAACTGCAAGGCGGCGATATCGCAATTAAGGTGCCTTCGAGACGACAATGTGTCGCGACTGCCTGGAGGGGAATCCGTGGTTAGCTCTGACGTCGGGGCACGTCGCACGTCGGTGGGAATTGCGACACCGCGAGCAATGTTGCGGGGCGCGTGGGCGGAGATAAATCTTGTCTGCGGAAGCCCAGAGAAGGCGACACACGTACCTAGTGATAGCGACGATATGAACGACTTCGGGGGTGGCAAAGGGGCTCGCGATGCGACAGCAACATTGAGGAGTGAGGTCTGGCAAGATTTTGAGGCGAAGGTCTCTCCTGGCCTTCGTAGCGCTTAGCGAGGAGACTGGGCCAGAAAGCGATCAGCGCGCACGCGCCAGGAGACTCGTCCCCCCTTGTCGCTGCGGCTTTGCGCTTGCTATTTGCGGGACAGTCCGTCACGACGTTGACGAGTCAACTCTGCGCAATATTTAACGACGAATTTGCTCATGAAAGCTAACTGTCAGATCTGCCATCCAGACCGCCTCTTAGGCTACGAAAGAGAAATTTGCATCCTAGCTGGTCCACAACTCGAGGCCTCTCTACCATCATCACGTGAGCAGCCCCTTCCTTAGGACGAGAAGCGGAGACGAGCTTGGTCCGAGCGCCTTCCCCTCCATCGCTCCCTCATCCAATTGTAGGGCAGGAGCATCAAAACCATACCTTAGGTATGGATTCCATGGCCTCTTCTCTTGTCCCAAGTGTGCCCTGAACGTTATGTCAGCGGGCTCCCTCAAAAGCCGCGAACTAGCTTGTTGTGTATGGTCTCCGACTTTGTGGGATAAACGGTACGCAGAAAGCTGGAAAACCGGCCCAGTCTATTCTCCGAGTCTGGAGACTCAGCAAGTGAGGCAACAAGTGCATCGTGACAGCATAAGAGAGCATTCTTGGGCTGAATTGGGACCAGGTGCCCCAAGGCGGTAGTAGCTGCCCAGCTACGGATCCATCTCCATGGATGCTAGCGCGCTTTGCTTCGGCGACAAGATCTTGAATGGCCCGTGCACGCTATGCAACAACTTTACCAGAAGCGCATCACAAGCTGCCCACGATTTTTCAACCACCAACTCCAAACCAGCAATTCGAATCACCACGACAGAAAAGAAAGCCCACGATGCCTCCACCTCCGAGCCATGGCGGTGCCGTCGGCCCCTCAACAACTGATAAGCGTACAAACCCCGCCGACTATCTTCGAGAAGCTCTTTGCTGACAGCTTGCGAACAGTCAAGATGGGCGCAATGATGGGTGGCAGTATGTGACCGTTCCGCCGTCTCTCCCGCTGCTGGCGCCGGGCAACTAACATATATTCGAAAACAGCGGTTGGTGTTATTATCGGCTTCATCTTCGGTACGTCCAACTGCCAAGGATCGTGTTGACCAGCCGCCCGAGCCGTAGCTGACCCATCGCAGGGACCGTCAACATCTTCAGATACGGCGCTGGTCCGAATGGTATCATGAGGACATTGGGTCAGTACATGCTGGGCTCTGGAGCGACATTCGGGTATGGTCGCAGCAACTCCTTGTCTAGAAGCAAACGTCCGCTGACGCACAGCCCCTTCAGCTTCTTCATGTCCATCGGCAGCGTTATTCGA